CCACTAGATGGGACCACCAGGCAGGAACTTAACAAAGAAACAAAAGAACTAACAGAAGTTACATCTCAGTTGGGTTTAATAGACATCTATAGAACATTCCATCCAAACACAAAAGAATATACCTTCTTCTCTGCTCCACATAGCACCTTCTCTAAAACCAACCACATACTAGGCGACATAACAAACCTCAACAGATAGAAAAAATTGGAACAGTCCCCTGTATCTTATGAAATCATCAGGTTTTAAAGTTGGAATTCAACAACAACACAAATCGCAGACACCCTAAAATCCATGGAAACTGAAAAATTTGCACTTACACCATACCTGGGCCAAAGAAAGAAATTAAGGACTTCCTAAAATTCAATGAGAATGAGGACACAACATACCCAAAGTTATGGGACATCTTGAAAGCAGTGTTACGAGGGAAGTTCATTGCACTAAGTGCCCATATGAGAAAACGGAGGATAAACACATTAGAGAATTAGCAGCAAAACTGAAAACCTTAGAACCAAAAGAAGCAAACTTACCCTGGAAGAATAGTCACCAGGAAATAATCAATTTGAGGGCTGAAATGAATAAAGTAGAAACCAGGAAAACAATACAAAAATAAAATCAATGCAAAAAAGAGTTGTTTTTTTGAGAAAATCCACAAGATAGGCAATCCTTTATCCAAACTAATGAAAAAGCAGAGAGAGAACATGCAAATTAACAAAATCAGAAACAAAAAGGGAGATATAACAGCAGACACTGAGGAAATGTAGACAATTATCAGGTCATACTTTAAAAACCTGTACTCCACAAAATTTGAAAATTCAAGGGAAATGGACACAGTTCTGGATAACTGTCACTCACCAAAATTAAATCAAGAACAGATAAGCAACTTAAATAGACTTATAACCACTAATGAAATAGATGCTGTCATCAAAATACTCCCAACCAAAAAAAAAAAAAAAAAAAAAAAAAAAAAGCCCAAGGCCAGATGGCTTCAGTTCAGAATTCTACCAGAAATTCAAAGAAGAGCTAATGTCCAGACTCCTCAATTTTTTATACACACTAAAAGCAGAAGGTTCATTACCAAACTCTTTTTAGGAGGTTACAATTACCTTAGTACCCAAGCCACACAAAGACACAACTACGAAAGAGAAATACACAGCAATATCCCTCATGAACTTTGATGCAAAAATACCCAATAAAATACTGGCAAATCGAATCCAAGAACACATTGGAGAAATCATCTGCCATGACCAAGTAGGTTTCATCCCTGGGTTTCAGAGATGGTTTAACATACAAAAATCTATCAACATGATCCACCATATAAACAAACTGAAAAAGAAAAACCAAATGAACATCTCACTAGAGGCTGAAAAAGCCTTTGACAAAATTCAACATCCTTTCATGATAAAGGTCTTGGAGAGATCAGGGATAACAGTATCATACCTAAACATAATAAAACCATAACAGGAACATGCCTAAACATAGGAAAAGCGATATACAGTAAACCAATAGCCAACATCAAACTGAATGGAGAGAAGCTTAAGGTGGTTCTTTCAAAATCAGAAACAAGACAAGGCTCTCTCTTTCTCTCTCTCTCTCTCCATATCTCTTCAATATTGTGCTTGAAATTGTAGCTAAAGCAATAAGACAACAATAAATCAGAAAATTACAATAGCCACAAACAACATAAACTATTTTGGGGTGATGCTTACCAAACAAGTGAAAGACCTATATAGCAAGAACTTTGTGTCTTTAAAGAAAGAATTTAAAGAAGATACCATGAAATGGAAAGATCTCCCAAGCTCTTGGATAGGTAGAATAAACGTAGTAAAAATGGCAATCCTTCCAAAAGCAATCTACAGATTCAATGCAATCCCCATCAAAATCTCAGAATTTCAAGCTCTTCTGTAGAAAACAACTTGGTATTGGCACAGAAATAGACAGGTAGACAAATGGAATTGAAACAAAAATCCTGATATTAACCCCCACATCTACAAACATCTGATTTTTGACAAAACAGATAAAATTATACAATGGAATGTGAAAGTGTCTTCCACAAATGGTGCTGGCACAACTGGATGATGGTGTGTAGAAGACTGCAGATCAACCCATGTCTATGGCCACGCACAAAACTCAAGCCCAAATGAATCAAAGACCTCAACATAAATCCAGCCACAGTGAACTTCTTAGAAGACAAAGTGGGAGGTACCCTTTAATAAGTTGGTACAGGAGACTGACTGCTCTCTGAATATAACTCCAGTAGCACAGACACTGAGATTGACAATTAATAAATGAGAACGCTTCAAACTGAGAAGCTTCTGTAAGGCAAAGGATCCAGTTGACAAAACCAAATGACAGCCCACAGGCTTGGAAAAGATCTTCATCAACCCTACATCTGACAGAGGGCTGATCTCCAAAATATACAAAGACCTCGAGAAACTAGTCAACAAAACACCAAATAACCCTACAGAACTGAAGATAGAATTTTCAATAGAGAAAATCAAAAAAGCTGAAAGATACTTAAGAAAATGCTCAACATCCTTAGCCATTAGAGAAATGCAAATCAAATGACTCTGAGATACCATCTTACTCCTGTCAGAATGGCTAAAATTAGCAACACCAATGACAACTTATGCTGGATAGGATGTGCAGAAAGGGGAACACTCCTCCACTGCTGGTGAGAGTGCAAACTCGTACAGCCATTTTGGAGATCAGTATGGCAGTTCCTGAGGAAAATAGGAGTCAGTCTACCACAGGACCCAGACAGAATTCCAACTCTTAGGCATATACCCAAATGATCTATATCCATGAAACAAAGACATCTGTTCAATTATGTTCATAGCAACATTATCTGTAATAGCAAGAACCTGGAAGCAACCTAGATGTCCTTCAACTTAAAAATGGGTAAAGAAGATGTGGCACATTTACACAATGCAATACTACTCATTTGGGGGGGCAATGAAATCTTGAAATTCACAGTCGAATAGATGGAACTTGAAGAAACCATCCTGAATGTGCTAACTCAGTCACAAAAAGAGGAACATGGTATGTACTCACTCATATATGGATTTTATATTTAGATATAGGATCACCAGCCCATAATTCACACTGCCAGAGAAAATGGGACACAAGGAGGAACCAAAGAGATTCATACAAGGCCCCTCACAGAATGGGAAAGGAACAAGCTCTCCTGAGCATATTGGGAGTTGAGGGGGCAATGAGTGGAGAGAGAGCTAGGAGAAAGAGAAGGGGAGGAGATGAAAGCACATGGGACTAGGAAGATTGAGTCAGGGGAGGAATAGACGAGAGGAAAAAGAGAGAGAGAGAGAAAGATATTATAAAAGAGGGATCCATTATAGGTTTAAAGAGAAAACTGACTCTAGAGAAATGTCCAGAGACCTACAAGACTGACCCCAATTAACAATTTGAGCAACAGTGGAAAGGCTACCATAAAAGCTTTTTCCTGATGAGATTGATGAATAACTTATCCACCATCATAGAGCCCTCATCTAGTAGCTGATGGAAATAGAAACCGACATCCATAGCTAAACACCGAGCCAAACTGGAATCCAGATGCAGAGAGGGAAGACAGGACCAGGCTACAGAAACCCACACAGACAGCTGACCTGAACAAGGGGGAGCTAATGGGCCCCTAGAGTGATAGCTGGGAATGCAGCATTGGAACAACTCAGACCCCCTGAACATGGGTGTCAGTTAGAAGGCCTGGGCAGCCTAAGGGACCTCTGACAGTGGAACCAGGAGGGAGCACATTTTCCCTACTCCAAATGACTTGACAGATATTGTTGACACCTCCTGGAAGGCAACACCCTCCCTGTGGAGTGGGGTTGGAGAATGGGATGGGAGGATGGTTGGGGGGCATGGGAAGGAGGGCGAGAGGAAGGGAGGGAGGTAGAGGTGTCTGCGATTGATATGTAAAATAAGAAAAAATAAATTTTAAATAATAACCACAGCATGTGTACAGAGGACATAGTATAGACCCAGAAAAGATCTGTGAGTTCCGCTTTGGTCTCTGTGAGGCCCTAGAGTCCTATTGAGTTGATTCTATGGGCTCTGTTCTCCTGGTGTCTATGATCCCTTTGTCTCCTACATTCCTTCCTCTCTCTCTTCCCTGGGATTCTGAGCACTGCCTTATGTCTGTCATTGCATTTCAGTATGTACTCCCATCAGCTGCTGGAGAGTGTGGATTGGGATTAGCACCAATCTGAGTGCAGCAGAATTTTATTTATTTGACATTTCATTGACTTTTGTATGTGTGACAGGGAGGATGGTGCACAAATAGCTAAGCAGACCTGGATAGACTAAAATGGGCTTCTTCAAACAGAAACACCTTTGGAATCATAAAATGATTAATATGTTTTATTTATTTTATACTTCATTTAAATATTTTCTACAGAGATGGAGGTGCCCATGAGGACAAGAGGAGAACTTCATATTCTCTGGATATCCATTGACAGGTGGTTGAAAAGTCCTCTGTGTGTGCAGGGAACTGAAAAGGGGTCCTCTGCAAGAGCAACAATTCCTTTTGCACACTGACTTTGGAGATAAATATGTCTCTTTTTTTTTTGTTCCTTTTCTCTTGTAAAAAGAAAAAAAACATTCATGTTTGTTTTATCTTTGGATCTGAAACCTTGATCATATCTATTCCTCAATCCAGACAGCTTTCTCTAAGAAAACTGTGGGGATGTGCTAAAGGCCAGCAACTAAACTAAATGATCTAAGTTTTCAAGTCATTGAACAAAATTCAAACCAGTTGAGCAACAGGGTAGAGATGGGGTATTGTACACCTGAGTCATCTTTTTCCCCATCTCCCATCCCCCATCCCACTCTGCAGTTCCAGTTACAACTTATTTACTGTTCTGTTTAATCCAGAGCTATCCAAGATTCACTGTGAAAGCTTCACAGACACCATAGTCTACCCATGTGTCCTTCATAACAACACTGGCTACTATTCCTAGAAGAAAACTGAAGGCCACAGCTCACAGGGCCTAGTATCTCTTCAAACATTTGAGGGAGGGATGCAGGAAAGGACTCAGTGCAAAAGTCATGCAAGGGAATGCTTCAGCCACAAAGTAGGGATATGAGCGGACCATTGTCTTCCAGCTTGAGGTCTCAGAGACCTCTGAAGCATGAGCTGTAATGAAATCCAGTGTTTGAGTTTTCAGCTGCCCTGCACTGTACAGGTCAGCCAAGAAGAGAGTGTGGGCAGCATTCTCCACGGAGAGGTCCCTGCAGAGGACATCCTCACACATGACTTTCAAACGCTCCAGGCCATACTTGTCAGCAGCTGCCAGCAAAGCATCTGCCATGCTGTGGAGGTCTGGTGCCTTTCCAGTGTAAAGGAAGCCCATCATTGCCTGGAAGACTTGCGGCTCCATATCATGGATCTCAACGCGGTTTGTTCTATTCTCCTTCATGTCATGTTGAAACATGGCTCTGAAAACTGGAGAGCGAGCTGCTAAGATGGCCTTGTGAGCATGGAACTCCTGGCCAGCTACCACCAGGCTGCAGTCTGTGAATAGAGAATTCTCCCACAGCTCTCCTAGCTCATCTGCCATCGTGCACTTTGGAACCTGGATCCCTAGTGGCTTCCCGATCTGGTCACAGATGCTGAAGGAGTCTTGGAACACTGTCACCTTACAGAAGAGAGTGAGCTGATCTTCAGGGAGAAGCCAGTACTCATGATCCAAGAGGAAATCCCGAAGGATGAACTTTTTAAATCCCCATTTGCATCCAGGTAGGAACTTAAGTACTCTTGTGGTCCTCATTCCAAAGACTGTCTCTCCTTCAGAACTTAAGATCCAAAGCTGGAACTTGGCCCAAACATGACTCTTTGGAGCACTGATCAATACTAGGTAAACTGACAAGTAATCTGTGCTTTCTTGATCGACGCCAAAAGTGTGTACTCTGAAACACCATTTGTCATTGCCTCCTGTTGAAAACTTTGGGCTCTTAATGGGACGCTGCATTTCCTCCAGGAAAAAATGGAAGTTGCTGATGGTCCATTTGTAGCAGAAATTCTGAATGTTGATTTGTGCTAAGTTCCAGTCCTTGGCCATACTCTCCCCTGCCATTTCTGCTAGTGGTAGTTTGAAGTTCAAACTGGATCCAAAACAAACTGGGGTTTATTTTTTTCTTCACCCTTGGGACAGAATAATAAACTTGATTTAGAGTTTTAGTTTATGTTTCCTATGTGTTACAAGTTCTCTGAGGCTGCAACTTGGATATCTCTGAAATTTTCAATGCAGATTTCAAGATTAGTTTCACAGAAGACAGTCATGGCTACTGGGGACTATTAGATCATTCCATTTTCTAGATGGAATCTTACATCAGTAGGTAACTAGTTTTGAGAAGTATGCACAACTTTTGAATAGTTTGGAATATTTTGTACACTCACAAGAAAAAATGCTCTACTGGGGTCCTCTAGAGTAACAGAACATATAGACTGTATCTCTCCATATATGAAGAAAGGGGACTCATTATAATGACTTATGGCTACAGTCCTGCTAATCCCACTGTGGTTAGCTTTGAAGAGAAAGTCCAAGAATCCAGTACTTACTCAGTCCAGAAGTTGTTGTTGTCAGCTGCTCTTCAGTAGAAGCTAGAATTCAAAGAAGTATCCTCAAATGTCAGTGCTGGAATGGACTTGCTGCAAGGTGAGTGCAAGCAGGCAGACTGCAACAGCTTTCTTCTTCCAAGTATTTTATATGCTTCCAGCAGTAGGTGTGTCCCAAATTAGGGTGTGTCTCCCAGCCTCAAATCTGGATTAAAGGTGTGTGTCTTCAGCTCTTTTGATCCTGATCAGATGTTTGTCTTCTCCCTCCAAAGTCTGTATTTCAAGTGGATCTACCTACTCCAATTTATGCAAAACATTTCTCACAGTTTTGCCCTCCATTTTAGAATTTTAGTTATTTCCAGGTCTGTTCAAGTTGGGAACCAAGAATAACCATCACAAGTGCACTTTGTTTGACTGAGTTAACCTTTCATAAATAAAGAAATGGTTCCCATGCCTAAGAGTTGTAATTTACTCTTCTCCTTTTCTTAATTTTTCCTATCACCACACACCTTTAATCTCAGCACTTCGAAGGCAGAGGCAGGCAGATCTCTTTGAGATCAAGCTCAGCCTGATATACACAGATTTTTCGGGGACGACCAGTGCTTTACTGAGAAAAACCCTGTCTCTGAAAAACAATGTATTCACCCCATAAACATTATCCAGGAAGTGGCCCTTGTCTTCCCTTGGGGTTCTCAGTGTTGACAATATGGCGGTTGGAGTGAAAGAATTCCTTTGTGGTGGTGGGCACTAAGCAGAGCCAGGAGGACCCTCTGAAAATGATTGTCTTCTTTCCTGCCTTTTATTCCATCCATACTCACAGTCCCAGGCATGGCTCCACCAAATTTCCTTGGTAGTCTTGCCCCTTTTTCTCAGTTAATCCTTCCTGATACACTTAAGGGTGTACTATGAGAAGATCTAAAATACCTCTCAATTCCCTCCTGCTGACTGCCTAGATTCAGCTTCTCATTTCCTCATAGTCTTCATCCTTCACTATTGAATTCTGTCCTCTTTAATCTTTGAACTTCCAGGCTTACTCTGCTGGGCTTAACATTCTAAGAGCATTCTGGTTTGCAAAGAGTGCAGAATATATTCAACAGTCACTGAAGAGCATCTTCTAATGTGGAGTCTGGAAATTAACAAGTACAATCCCTTCAAATGAGTGATTTCTGGGATAGGGTACCCACCATCCTGACCCTGAACCAACCTGGTGAGGAATCACCTATGTCACTATGTGGCAACTTGCAATAAATACACCACAGGAAACAAAAGGGAAAAAAAATCAAACAGTCAAAGCCAATTGATTCATTTATCCTCTACTGAAAGATAGGTAGTGTTACATCCAGACTTACAGGCGAACCAGACTGGATGTGGCTGAGCTGATTGAATCAATGAACTTATTTCCTTGTGCTCTGGGCTTAGAATCTCCAAGACAAGAATAGCTGGAGAGAGATGACATGAAAAAAGCATTTTCCTCATCACATTGTAGAGTAGGATCCATCCTAAAGCCCCTCCTCCAGAGTTTCTGTTGAATATAGTCTGTATTTCATGGAAATGAGAATTATCACTCACTCTTAAGGACCAGCAGAATAATCATGGCACGGTTGATGTTGAAGAGGACAGAACCCACCAGTGGAGGAGGGAGAATATGAACTACTGAGAATAATTCTGAGTGATTGACATGAGAGGGATTTAGGATATTCATTAGTCCACACTATAGAGAAATATTGTTTGAGAGCATGCCTGACTGAGCAGATAGAAAAAACAAAGATTACGTGTTTGTTCATTTAGTGTTGCTTAGCTTTCCAAAGAGTTACATTTGGGCACTATTCTATTCTTCTTTGTTTAACACCATCAGTCCACTACGGAACAGCAACTAAGGACTCCTTTGACTCTCACTTTAGATCACTGAAAAAATGTCAAGGAGCTAGCCACTCATCAGTCTGTCACTATTAAGAAACAAGAGTGGCAGACACTTTGAAGTTCCAAATGGCCCACCTTCAACGTTGGGTGGCCTTGGGACGGTACTTTCAATCTCTCTGTAATTCTACAGGTCAAGGACAGAGTTTTTGACACTGGACCTCATGCCCCCCCCCCCCCCCCCCCCCCCGCCTACATCGTCACCTGGAAGGATTCATCTCCCTGGGTCCTGCCCTTCTGCACCCAAAATCCCCTGCCCCTTCAGACAGCCACTTGACCATCCCCATTTCCTCCTGCACTACTCCCTGCTAGGGGCTCCCGATGTTGCCCTGGGGGAGCAGCCAAAGAGACAGGTTCTGGCTGGCTGCAACAGCAGGTGAGTCTTCCTCCCAGCTGCACTCACTCCATGAGCCAGGTCACCTGAGTAGCACCTGCAGCTGAGCCTCCATGACTCACTAAGCAGCCACTGTTCTGTCTAAATTTAAGGAGGCTCCACGGAAACTTCCTATTCTCCCCCCTGACTCAAACCTTGACCTTCTTTCCTCTGATCCTCCCCCTTCTCAGGCCCAGGCCCCTGCTGCGCCCCAGACTCCACGACATGAGGACATGCAGGGGACCTCTCCTCAGAGTCCCCTTTCCCCGAATTCCATGACTCTGACTGGCCAGCAACTCCTCAGGACTCTCACTACTGAGGAGAAACAGAAAGTTAACCTAGAAGCACTCAAAACACGTGCCAGGGCCAAATGGGGCCCTGCCCACACCTAGCTCCCTAATGAGATTGGTGCCACTTTCCCACTGAATAGACCTTGGAACTACACCACTCCTGCCAGTAGGGAACAACTCCGTCTTTATCACCAGATTCTCCTTGTGGGTCTCAGGGGCACCAGGAGACGCCCAACCAATTTGGCCTTGGTAAGAGCAGTTACCCAGGGAGGGGAAGAAACCCCTACATCATACCTAGAGAGATTGATGGAGGCAGGCTTAAAAAGATATGGGGGCAGGGAGGTCAGAAAGAAACAGGAAGAAAAAGAAAAGAAGCGAGAAAGAAAACAGACTAAGGAACTAAGCAGAATCTTGGCCACTGTAGTGCAGCCCAGACTAGAGACAGGCAAGCAAGAAAAGCCCCTGGAAGACAGAAGACGCCCCATGCAGTAGAGACTATAGTCTGCTAGCCTTGTGACCACTGGCTCTCAATGCACATATGACCCACTATCAGACTCTGCTCTTGATTCCAGAAAGAATACAATTTGGGCCAGTAACCTACTTGAACCCCACCACCCTCCTGCCCGATCAGAGTCATGAGGAGAACATCCCTCATGACTTCCGGCAAGTGCTGGCTGAAGCACATGGAACACACCTGGATCTGACTGATAAACCTCTGCCGGATGAGACCTGGTTCACAAAAAATGTGAGCAAAAAGCTGGGGCTGCAGTGGTGGAAGCATGCTGCCACCCAGCACATCGGCACAGGGAGCCGATCTCATCCCACTCACCCAGGCATTATACTGGTAGCCTGTATGTTTTTGCTAATGCGCATGTACATGGGGAAATTTATAAGAGGAAGGGTCTACTGACTTCTGGAGGAAGAGAGATCAAAATCAAAACAGAAATACTGGATTTGCTATAAGTCCTATTCCTGCCTAAGAGACTGAGTATTATCCATTGTGTGGGCCATCAACTAGGGGACGATCCCATTGCCAAGGGAAACCGCCTAGTGGATGAGACTGCTAAGGAACCTCAGACCTCAGATCCTGCCTTTGCAGACTGAGGAACCTGAACGGCCTGCCAAACAGCCTCCGTTCCAGTACTCAGCTGAAGACTTAGTCATTCTGAGCAAGATGGGTGCAAAATATGACTCAAAAATCCAGGAATGAACATTCCAAGGAAAACTAGTTCCCCCTCAGAGGGAGGCTAAGACTTTGGTGACTGATTTGCACAAATTAACTCATTTGGGGGAAAAAACAAACAAACAAACAAACAAAACCCTTGCCACCTTGTTGGCCAGAGAGAAACTCTTTTTCCATATACCCCATATAGACTCCCTCATACAGCAACTTGTCAGCAAATGTGTCCACTGCGCCAAGGTAAACACTGGGAGACTAAAACTACCAGAGGTGTCAGAGCCAGAGCACATCGCCCTGGCACATATTTGGAAGTTGACTTCACAGAGATCAAGCCTGGCATGTATAGTAACAGATCTTTGCTAGTTTTTATAGACATATTTTCAGGATGAGTTGAAGCTTTCCCCACCAAGAGAGAAATGGCTCAAATAGTAGTCAAGAAGATACTGGAAGAAATTTTTCCCTGGTTTGGCCTGCCTAAGGTAATAGGGCCAGACAATGGGCCTGCTTTGTCTCCCAGGTAAATCAGCTGGTGGCCAAATTACTGGGGCTTGATTGGAAATTGTATTGTGCCTATTATCGCCAGAGCTCAGGACAAGTAGAGAAAAAACAGAACAGTCAAAGAGACCCTAACAAAATTAGCGCTGGAGACTGGCACTCGAGACTGGACTCAACTCCTCCCAATAGCTCACTATAGAGCAAGGAATATCCCTGGCCCCCATGGACTCACACCATTTGAAATCTTATATAGGGGACCACCT